CTCCGTGTGTCTCTCTGTATGTCTTTCTGTTTGTCCCACTGTATCTTTGTGTGACTCTCCGTGTGTCTCTCTGTATGTCTTTCTGTTTGTCCCACTGTATCTCTGTGTGACTCTCCGTGTGTCCCTCTGTATGTCTTTCTGTATGTCCCACTGTATCTCTGTCTGACTCTCCGTGGTTCCCTCTTTGTGTCTCTCTGTGTATCCCTCTGTGTCCACGTGTTCCCTGTGTGGGTTCCTTTGTGTCCCTGAGTTTCCATGCAGTCTGTACTGGCTGTGCAAATGCTTATGAAGTGCTAATGCACATTTTGGTGTGTGAATTGACACAATTTGTTTGGGTCTGCACAGTGTGTGTTATTGTGTGTGTCTGTATGTGTCAGTGACATAATATCGTTATGATTATAGTCATTGGCATTTTTTTGCAGGATTTGTCTGTGGACCCATCTTCTCTCAGTTGGTTTGTGTCCAAGACTGACATTATGAGTGTGTGTATTTGTGCGGGCGTGTCCTTCAGGTGACTGGGAAGCTTCTGCAGACCTCTTTGACCAAGGAGGGCGAGACGGTACGCCTGGACCAGAGGAACGTCCCCTTCCAGGTGGACACCTCCAGTGACAGCCCCTTCCTCATCCTGCCCCTCACCTTCTACCACGTGATTGATGAGAGCAGCCCCTTGCGACCCTGGGCCGCCAAGGGTATGACAGGGGGGTAGCGGGGGTTGTTAGAGTGGAGGTGTGCAGTGTGAATGGAGGTGTAAATGTGTGAATGGAGGGGTACAGTGTGAATGTGTGAATGGAGGTGTGCAGTGTGAATGTGTGAATGGAGGTGTGCAGTGTTAGACTACATGTGTGTAAAGGTTTTTCTTATAAAATTTGGAAAAATTATAAGCACTACTCCAAACTGGAGCAGAACCACCAAACTTGAGCAAAACCACATTTTTTTGTTTGCGGTTGAGTAGATGGGGCAGAGGATTGAGACACAAAGTTCGGTGTGTGTGTGTGTGTGTATGTGTGCGTGTGGACCAGGTATACCTTACTTTGTGAGGACCAAATGTCCCCACAACATGATGAATACCCATTTTTTTAACCTTATGGGGACCATTTTCCTGGGGTGACTGCAATGAACAAACTAAAATTGCAAAAATTCTTGTATTTTTTTTGGTCACTTATGGTTAGGGCTGGGTGGGGGTTAAGGTTGTCATAGTTAGCATTAGCATTTATCCCATAGAAATGAATGAGCGGTCCCCATAAGGATATGATTACACGACTGTGTGTGTGTGCGCATGCGCATGTGAGAGTGTGTGTTTGTATGTGTGTGTGTGTGTGTGCGTGTTTCTATGTGAGAGTGTGTGTTTGTATGTGAGAGTGTGTGTTTGTATGTGTGAGTGTGTGTTTGTATGTGTGTGTGTGTTTGTATGTGTGTGTGTGTGTGTGTGTGTTTGTATGTGTGCGTGTTTCTATGTGAGAGTGTGTGTTTGTATGTGTGTGTGTGTGTGTTTGTATGTGTGTGTGTGTGTTTGTATGTGTGCGTGTTTCTATGTGAGAGTGTGTGTTTGTATGTGTGTGTTTGTATGTGTGTGTGTGTGTGTGTGTTTCTATGTGAGAGTGTGTGTTTGTATGTGTGTGTGTTTGTATGTGTGTGTGTGTGTGTGTTTGTATGTGTGTGTGAGTTTCTCTCGACTATCACTGCCGGATTCCAAAGTGTGCCAGAGTCATGTGTGAGACTGTTTTTACAGGTGGGGGTGTACTGAGTGTGGTTGTTGATGCAGATGGGCAGTTGGGGGGGTGGAGAATGGTCTCTGAGGGGGGGGGGGGTGTCAAGTAGCTGTACTTGTAAAGCATGTCTGCCTGTAAACCCACCATGTGTTTTAGTATGATGGTGAATGTGCATCCCCTGCACGCTGTCACACTGATGCCGGCCTTTCAGCTCACCTTTCATTATGAAGCAGCGGGTCCTGCTCTTCTCTGTGCAGGTGGGGGGTGGACGGACCCCGAGCTGGCCGACTTCGAGCTGCTGGTGATCCTGAGTGCGACGGTGGAGCCCACGTCGGCCACCTGCCAGGTGCGCACCTCCTACCTGCCCGACGAGATCCTGTGGGGATACGAGTTCCCGCCCGTGGTCTCCCTCTCGCCCTCCGGGAAGTATGTGGCCGACTTCTCCTTCTTCGACAAGGTGGCCAAGACCAAGACCCAGCCTCTGTTCAAGCAGATCCCCGCCCAGAGCTCGCCCCCACATGGACAGCCGGGGGGCGGAGTCATTGAAGCGGCGGACCCAGAAAAGATGCGCCTAGAACAGAGCTACAGGGAGAGGGGGGACGAGCGAGTGAGGCCTAGAGACAGCAGTCCACATAGCGTCCGTATTAGCAACGTGTAGCGTGGTGACAGGCAGCTTGTACAAGCACGACTGGAGTAAACACTCCCGCTTCATGCTCATGCTTGTCTGACTGACTGATGAGGCTTTTTTTTAAATGATAGCTCTGGTCTCCCTTGTGTTTTTATCGTGTTATCTTACCTAAACTTTGTTGGAAATGGAGAAGAAACTGTACCATTGAGTGTTTCATTGGTGTTTTTTTTCTCCAAATAATGATTTAATGAGTGAGAGAAGGTCATTTGTGTATCCCGAAGGGGCTGTAGAATGATTTCTGAGCTGTTTGGGAATATTGTGGCCCTGCGGGACTCCTTTACCCCGGAGTGCCCAGCAGGGGTCACTGTTTCTCGACTCGCCGTTTTCAGCTTCTCACAGCATCTGCAGGGCTACGCGTGGACCAGCATCTCCTGATCTTTCTTAAACCCTGAAGCTTAACTCCCTGACAGCACTAAATGAACCATAGACTGAAACAGTTCAACATTTCCACCATATTCCGGGCTTAAGGCCTCATTTTGAAATCTGTCAAACCTTGACGCACTGGTGTGCCTCCAGGACTAGAGACAGGAAGGTGCCCAGAAAAGCACATTGTACACTTTAATAAAAGTTGTCCTAGTGGCACAAATGTAATGAACTTCACCACAGGACAATGAAAGAATGCTAAATTCTCTTTTAGATGCCAAGGTCATGCTGTGTGCATGTGCGTGTGTGTGAGCGTGTGTGTGTGTGTGTGGTATTAGCAGATAAAGTACAGAAAACCACAAAGCACATGGTAGCAGCACACAGAAGATGTTTCATAAGAATAATCAGTAGATGGTATTCAAAACGAAGTGCCAGAGAACAAAAGGGATCTCTTAAAAATGAGACATTTCTTTATCGGTGCTTATGAGAATGCATTTTTATACAAAGTTACATATTTACATTTTTCTATCTATTGTACTAACAGCAGTAGTACACTGATTGGAACTTAGTTACTTGAGAAAATGTGTATGACACTCCTAAAGCACTGGAATGTAAAAAGTTTGTGTTTGTATGTCGGCTTGCGTGCACGTAAGTGCACATGATTAAGTGATTGTATTTTAACAATACTAAAAGCACTTTAATATGGAGAAAAAGTTCTAACGTCACCAGCTGCCTTCACTCTCCTACGTACCTACTTTCATTTCGTGTTCCCGGCTTGTGTTTGTCCGAGTCAGTACATTTCTGTATAAAGTCTGCTACATTAGAATTGA